TACTAACCAAAGTAACAGGTGAGTGTACCATATCATACTAACCAAAGTAACAGGTGAGTGTAACATATCATACTAACCAAAGTAACAGGTGAGTGTAACATATCATACTAACCAAAGTAACAGGTGAGTGTACCATATCATACTAACCAAAGTAACAGGTGAGTGTACCAGCCTGCAGTGGAAAGCGTATTCTCATAGGAGACGTTCTCTCCAATCACTGTAAACCATTCGATGGTCCATAGTATCGGAAATGGTAACAAAAGTTCCTTAGCATCCCTCAGGTGGCGCTGGAACACGCCGTCTAGATGATTCGTATTCAAACAAAAGATTAGATGGTTGATTTCTCAAAATTAAACAAGCATTAAATAAGAAAAATTAATTAACATAAGATCTCTCCCTAGACAAAAAATGCCTCGGTGGTAGGGATTGGACGTGAGTAATCTGGGATTTATCCAATTTTGGTAAAACTTATACAGGTTTAGCATTTGATAAGATATGACGATTACAATTTACAGTTTCCAAATCGGATAAGCCGAGTTATGATTGGTCACATCATCACCATAGTTAATAACAGTATTCCATATTGTGGAACCGACGGGTCCGCTACGTGAGTCTTCTTCTTCTTCGCCCGATGTTACATCTGTTTTTCATACCAGAGCCCAATAGTTCTCCACCAGATAGATCTATGTCTCGTCGACCGTCACTGGAACTTTGCTACTCGTCGTCAAGTCATCATCAATTACGATTATTCCCTTGATTACCTGCATATGCTAGGTTCCCAGATTTTCAAATTGCAGCCAGTGCAACCGTTGTAGATGTGATCACGATGGACTTTTTGACAGCCCTTGTTGAGGGAAATACATCTATCAGGCCCAGAGATACTGTGGCAGCACTCAAAAATAGGATAAACCGAGTTATTATTGGTCACATCATCACCATAGTTAATAACAGTATTCCATATTGTGGAACCGACGGGTCCGCTACGTGAGTCTTTTTCTTCTTCGCCCGATGTTACATCGGTTTTTCATACCAGAGAAGGACAGTAGTACTAGCTTTCTGCTAGTTCAGAAGATCAAGAACAGGTCTCCAACCCCAAACAAACAATGAAGTAAGGTCGCATAATTTGACTTAAGAATAAAAAAAATTATAAAAAAGAGATAATCAATTCGTTGCTGGTAAGGTGGAGTAGCCATGTCTCTTTGACTGCTCATAGCTCACGACTGAAATATGTTACCATTATACGGACTGCATATTTGAATACAGCAGGTCCTGGACTTTCGAACTATATATATATATATGTAACTACTCCAAAAAATGGCTACTGGAATTTGTTGTTCCTTGACCTGCCACCCAAAAACATCACTTCTGGTTGGGGGAGAAATTCTGTGTTAAACTGTTAAAATACCAAACCGTGATGTTATTTCTTTATAGATGACTTTTTATCGGACAAACAAATATGTTTTTACTTAACAAGTAATATTACTATCTAACAAGTTATTGGAATAAATTGACTAAGTTTACGGGATAAAAAAAAAATGTTGTTTCTTAATAGATAACCCCCCTCCCCTAAGCGCTAAAATTCAGGTTTCGATCGCTGCAGTTGGTAGAGCAAAGATAACTCATCGTGCTCAATAACAAACAAACTTAACATATACTTATATTATCTAACAATTTAATGGGATAAACCAGCTATGCTCTCTAGATAAACAGCTAAGTATTATCACTATTTCTCTGAGTTTGTTTGTTTTTTCAATTAATATAAATACCACTTCGATAGTTTTTATTATCCGAATTATTTCTAACAGCATATTAAAGTAATGTTTGATCGAGGCAGCTATAAAGTTTCTCTCGCTAATGATGAATTTTCATTTGATTCGTAGATACTAGTGACACCTAGTAACGCTTTTACAAAGTAATAGAAAATATTTACCTTGTGGTCGACCACCTGGTTTTCCTTCTGTCCATTCCCAATATATATTTTCACTGTACATAACAGTTTCGTTCATTTGTTCAAGAGGCGTTCCTGGAAAATATAAGTTATCATAAGTTTTCTAGCGTTTTCTCTTTAAGTTCCAACCTCTAATACGACCGACTGCGTTACTTCTAGATACCATCGAGACAAGTTTGGTTTGTTAATCAATATCACCTTCCGATTAGAGCAAAACTGAAAACCAGCCTGGTAATGAGCATAGTTAACTAAATACGTTCTTAGTTATAAAGATTAGAACCCATTGTTTCAGTTTGGGGGTACCCTCGTTGTTAACGGCACCTTCGGCCGTAATCCCAATAATATCTCACGATGGTCGGCCAGCTTAGGAGATTTAGCTTAGTTCAAAAGCCATATATTTAGCTAACAATTCACAATAATAATAAAGATACAATAATAAGATTAAGAATAAAATTAATACAATTACATTCTCACCAATAATGTAACATAAACTCAATAGACTATACCTTACTTACGGAACAAACAAATAACATTAGTTGAACAACGTAGCATCGCTATCAACAGAACCTTCACAATACTCCATAAAACGATTTGTGACCAATGAAAAACCTCCGACAATGTAGCTTTAGAGAAGCGAGGCATCTGAGAAACTTTTCTAGAACGCTTGGCCTCCCAGTGGCACAACGGTACGTCTGCGAGCGTAAGCGCTAGATTCCGGGTTTCGATACCCGTGATGGGCAGAGAACAGATAGCCCACTATGTTGCTTTGTGCTTAACTCCAAACAATAGAACGCGTGCGTGTTACTGTTGAGTTGTGGAATCAAGTACAAGAACATTGCCAAGAGATAAAAACTAAATGTTATAAAGACAGAATATAAGATAATAAATAAAAAATGAAATGAATACATGAACAATACAATAAGCAGATAGAATAATAAAAACGTAACAATTAGATGTAATGCAAGTACGTTGAACATACTACTCCCACTGTCACTTAACACAACACATGAAGCAGGCATAAGGAAGTAATACTCCCACTGTCACTTAACACAACACATGAAGCAGACATAAGGAAGTAATACTCCCACTGTTACTTAACACAACACATGAAGCAGACATAAGGAAGTAATACTCCCACTGTCACTTAACACAACACATGAAGCAGACATAAGGAAGTAATACTCCCACTGTCACTTAACACAACACATGAAGCAGACATAAGGAAGTAATACTCCCACTGTCACTTAACACAACACATGGAGCAGACATAAGGAAGTAATACTCCCACTGTTACTTAACACAACACATGAAGCAGACATAAGGAAGTAACAAAAAAAGTTAAATCTTTTACAACAGCTGAAATGTAAACGCTATAAACTCCGAGAAGTTTCGATAATGATAATAAGGCTTAGAAATGAAAGTTATAACAATAATAAAAAAGGCAAATAAAGTAATTAATAAAAACTTGTGTAACATAACTATTTAGGTGATATACAGTATATACGGAACGGTTATACAGCTAGCACTAACTACACATAATAAGAACATAAATTAATAGGAGGTAAAACTAATGGTGGTCAACACACTAAAGTGGTTCACTAAACAACTCTTGGGCTACTCTTTTACCAACGAATGGTAGTATTGACCTTAACATTATAACGCCCCCACGGCTGAAAGGGCGATCATGTTTGGTGGAATGAGGATTCGAACCCGCAGATTGCGAGTCTAGCGCCCTGACCACCTGGCCATGCCGGGCGTAGCTCTATAATGAAGAAAATACAGTTGCAATAAATAATAATGTTCATATTCTTTATCTGGGTTACATCGTCCTCTCTGATCTGAGTTCGAGAACTGCCTTTTTTTAAATTCAAACATCCATTTTCTGATTAACTAAACCTTGAAGAAATACTCTAACGCCCATTAACAAAGTTTAAAAAATTCAACATTTTTTTTTTGTTAGGACATTTAATTCGCAAACTGAAGATCGAGGGTTCGAATCACATTGTTGAAAATGCTTCTCTTTCAGTTGCGGGTGCGTTATAATATAACGATCAATCCCACTATTCGTTGGTAAAGAGTATATCCCACGCGTTGGCGGTGAGTGGTGTTGACTAGCTGCCTTCCCTCTAATCTATAACTTCTAAAATATGGACGGCTAGCGTAGGTTTTACGCGAAATTTAAGACAAACAAACATCTTTTTGGAGTTCCTTTTCAGGCTCTATCTGGTTAAAAATTGAGCTTGGATGTTACCACCCACTTCAGAGTGTTCACCTGCTCGGTTTAAATTTCTCTAAAACAGTTTACAACTCACTTTAATCTTTTTATAAGTTAAGATATGAAGAATTTCAAAAACTTGAAAATTACTTTCAGCTGTTTATCTACATCGCTTAATGGTAAAAAAAGTTTAGTCACGAATGATGTGAAACAACTTATA